ACACACACACACACACACACACACACACACACACACACGTGAGCCCTGTCCTTGGGATGTCCCAGCTCTTGCAGCACTCTCTCTGACCAGGAGGGTCTGTGGGCTGGCAGTGCTATGCCAGGCACAGATTGGGAGGTGCAGGAGGCTGAGTGAGCACAGCAAGGTGGTGGGAAAGGACAGCAGAGTCAGGCGCAGGCTGAGCTCCCCCAGTGAGGTCTGAGAGCGGGAGGGGGCGCTGGGCCGACCTCTGTGCTGCCAGGAGGTGGAGGGCCTTCTACCCGCACTTGGGAGGCCCATGAGCAAGCACCAGAGTTCATGCCAGGGCTCCCTAGGGTTAGCTGGCCTAGGACGAGAGCCTGCCTCTGCAGGAGGCTTCAGGGATCCAGCAGAAGGTGTGGCAAAGGCCCCTGGAAACCACCCCCTCTCTGAGTCCTGGTCCCCTGCTTGCCCCACAGCCAGTGTCCTGCCTACAGCACACCCTGTTCAGAGCCCCTGGGTCCTTCCACCAGAGCCAGAGAGCCTGCCACAGCCCTGAAGGTACTCACATGGAATTGTTCTGGAAACCCGTGCCATTTCCCCGGCTGTCGAAGAGTGGGATTGTGTGAGGTCCATACACTGAATTCTGGTCAACAAGAAGGAGCAGCACCAGGAGGGCTGGGACCCCTGAGGGATGAGAGAGTTCTCAGCATCTGTCAGGTGACCCCAGAGAAAGGTTTGTCATGGGTCCCTGGGGCTGCTAAAACAGAATCCCACTGAGCAAGTGGGGAGGGAAAGGGACTGTTCCGAGCCCCCAACCCCTGCCATATTGTCCAGCTTCAAAGCACGTAACCTGGAGGTCTGAGAGGAGACAGCTCTCCCAGATGATGTTAGTGAGGACTCTAGGGTGGGATGGTAATGGCAGTAGCAGTGGGGAGATCGAGCTAATGGGACAGAGGGTTGGGAGAACTTGTGAGGAAACAGATGCTAAAGAAGGGCTAGGATGGCGATAGAGGTGCCAATGATGGTGATGCCAGAGATGGTGGTGAAGACGAGGATGAGGATGGTAGTGATGGTGGAGGTGGTGGTGAAGATGATGGTAGAGTCAGAGGTGGTGATGGAAGTGGTGGTGGTGGAGTTGATGGTGTTAGAGGTAGACATGGTGGAGACGATGGCAGAAGTGATGGTGGTGTTAGAGGTGGAGGTGATGGTGGAGGTGTTGGAAGTGATGGTACTGGAGGTGTTGGAGGTAAGGTGTGGAGGTGATGGAGGTGGGGGGGATGGAACTGTTAGAGGTGTCAGAGGTGTTGGAGGTGTAGAGGTGATGGAGGTGTTGGGATGGGGGAATGGAGGTGTTAGAGGTGTGGAGGTGATGGAGGTGTTGGGGTGGAGGGAATGGAGGTGTTGGGGTAGAGGGGATAGAGGTGTTGGGGGTGGGGGAAATGGAGGTGTTGGAG